AGAGAGAGAGAGAGAGAGAGAGAGAGAGAGAGAGAGAGAGAGAGAGAAATCCAGGAAAGCCAGGACTACACAGAGAAACCCTGTCTCAAAAGAGCAAAACAAAATAAAAAATAACCCCTCCAAAAAAAGAAAAGAAAAAGAAAGTTATATCCTACTATACTAAAGCAACGTGAGCAGTAGAGAAACTGGAAAGCCAGTCTCCAGATAATGGCTTACTTTATTGAATTTTATTTGTTATATCTAAATGAACAACAGAAGAATAAAAAGTAATATAAAATCTTTTATACTTTATTAATAATAGCTGAAGTCTTTTCAGAAGATACAGTGGTCTCCTACCTGCTGTATAGATAGTTCCATGCTCAATGGGATTTTCCTAGTTTTCTTTCTTAGCTTTCTTGTGTGGACCACAGTAAAATAAAACTTCCTACTGGAATATAATGTCCTTCTTTCTATACTTATTTACACTGATTTATGTATTCTAACAATAGGAGTCTCCTACCTGGATAATGACTGTCAGATTTAATGCTAAAATGGTGGCCAAAATTTTTGAGACAAGGTTTCTCTGTAGCTTTGGTGCTTGTCCTGGAACTAGCTCTTGTAGACCAGGCTGGCCTTGAACTCACAGAGATCCACCTGTCTCTGTCTCCCAAGTGCTGGGATTAAAGGCGTGGGTCACCACCACCCAGCAGCACAGACAGCCATTTTTATGAGTCCTGTCTCTGTCCTATGTTTTAAGCTAGGACTAAACCCAGTAAGTCAGCAATGATGAAGCTATAAGCATCTAATAAACTCATCCTGACTTCATTCATATATATTCCACTTTTCTCATGTATGTATGTATGTATGCATGCATGTCAATTTTACTGAAAAAGATTCATAAATATTAGAGACTGGAAAAACCTCTGATCTGTAGACGTTCCTTAATCCTAAATTTAACCTGATCAGGATATCTACCATCTGATACCATTTATGGGAGCTAAAGATACTGCTTGGAAAAGGAGACCCAGCTTAGCTCAGTCACTAGCTGACTCTTTGGATGAGTTACCCA